ATCTTTTAAGCAATTCTGGGATTCTGTCACTTAAAAACCAATAAATCTTTGAAGGCCTGGGGAAAGCAATGCAAAAGCAATACATCTCCATTGTGGAGTATTAGAAAAGGAGGCCACACTGCCAAGGTGGTTTGGCTGGAGGGATGAGGGTGCAGGACCCCGCATGGCCATCTTCCCTCCCCGCCTCCTCGCCTCCCTGTATGCTCAGTCCTACCAGTCAGAGTCAGAGCCACAGGGCTTCAGAGGGGCAGCAAGCAGTACAGCAGGGCTGGAGTTCGGCTCAACTAGGGTCAGAGCATTACTGGCAGAAGGAGGAAGAACAGCCTGTGTGGGTGTGGCCTGGAGGCTGAGGCTCAGCTGTGAGTCTGTTGGAGAACAGGAAGACTCTCCACTCAGAGTTATGCCGGGCCTCACAAGTTACTGGCTGCGCCCACGCAACCAGAATTGTCTTGTCTACCCGTCGTTCCCTAGGTGGAAGAGATTCACTCCACAGCATCCCACCAGAAGGTCACCCGGGCATCACGTGACATCCCAGGCACGAGGAACTCAGAACAGTGAACTCGGAGGCAGGAAGCTAGGTCCGTGGACTGGCTCTACGTGTAATGAGCTCTGTGACCTTGGGCCAATCACTTAACATCTCAGATTTCAGCTTCTCCTCTAAAATGGAGATGGTGTTTCCTGTGCAGCTTAGCCACTGGGTGAGTGACGGTCAGATGCTACAATGGAATGAAAGGAACTATCAACTATAAAACACGATTCCGGGCATCCCTGACCCAGTGCATCTAGGGAGCTCTCAGTGTCCTGTGGTCACAGAGTGAGTTTGCTGTTTTCTCAAGGCTCGTGCTTCCCCTGCCTGCAGGGCTCCACACTGGTCCACTTGCCTGGGTTGTGCCCATCTCTCCAGCCCATCTACTCTTCCTCTCAGTCAATACAGTCACTGTCTGTACTGGCTTCATGTTATCTTGTTTTGCCGGTTTCGTTATTCTGTTTCCTTAATGGCTTAATGGTCCCCTCCCTGCCCCGTTCACATGTACACTTACTGGATAAGCCTCAGCACGACAGGTGTGTGTCTCTCTTGCTTCCTGCTGTATCCTCATTGCTTACCTCAGTTCCTGCTCAATAAATATTTGTTGAATGACTTAATGGTCAGCTGCCTCCCACGGGGCACTCCAGTGCCCAGAGTTCAAGGTGACAAAGGGTTAAAGTAACTGAAGTCTACTGTGATATTCCACTGCTGTCACTGCGGTCGTCCCAGAAGCCTTGCTGGCTGGCACTGATGAGTCTCTTCCCTTCCTGGCAAATGCCCAAGCAACTGTCTGAAAATAACTCCAGAAACTCAGTGTCTACCCACCCTCAGTGATCTAGAGCCTTGAGAAGAAAAGCAGTCAGACTCTTCCAGACACCAGGCATTGCCCCTTTGAGCAGTGACATTTATTTTAAATTTGTTTCCGATGGAAATGTCACCAAAATACATCACATATGACTTTCTCCTAGGGAGGTGGCGTGGCTAGAGAGATGTGAGTGTTGGCTTAGGGGCGACTGAACAGGGTTTAAATTCTGCCTGCACCACTTGCTCTTTTCATGGCTTGGGTCAATGCACTTAGCTTCCATGTATCTCAGTTTCCATATCTGCACAATGGGGAGGCTATTACGGCGATGCTGTGACGTTGCAAACCATTTACATATAGTGACAGGCACTCGGCCGGCGCGTGCTCATCAAATGGAAGCTAGTTGGCTCTTTTAACTTGAAGACGTGGGACCCAATGGTACATTTTTTAGGGTGAACCAGGAACAACAAATGAATACCCGTGGCTGTGAGGGGCAGCAGGGGCTACGGCATGTGGACCTCCTTGTTTCTTGAGTCCCTGTGTCGGTTTTGTAGAGTTGTCCTGTTTTTTCGCTCCCTGCCAACTGTCATTTCTCCCCGCTACTGGGGCATTTCCATTCCCACCTACTAATTTACTGTGGTCTTAGGATGCACAAGCTCATTAAACAGACGTGCAGACTAAGTCTGTAGGCTCAGAAGGAAAATGTAAGGGGCTTCTCTCTGTGGAGGCTAGAAAAGCTTTCCCAAGAACATTGGTTTGGGATGTTTGCTGGTCTCTGGAGTCAGGCAGGCCTGGGTACGAGTCCTGGCCTCAACACTTACAGACTCTGTGACCTTGAACTTTAGTTTCCTCATTTCCAACAGGGAGATAATAGTACTACTCATAGGTTAGTAGAGATTAAATTCTTGGATCATAGGAGTTGCCCAATAAAACATGGTGACAATTACTCCCATCTGTGTTCAGCTGGCTTTGAGGAGTTTTCAGAGGTTCACGGACATATAATCTGATTCATCCTGAGGATGGGTCCCTGATCCTCTGTACAAAAATTAACTTTATTCCTATCACTAGGAAGGACACAGATTACTTCTTTCTCAGGACAACTAGAAAAGACATTTTTCTGAATGTGTGCCAGAAAGAAGTTAGGGGCTCTTAAGGAAAAAGCAAAGCACCTCCTTCCCCACCCTGAAATCAGGGTCTTTGGAAATTTGAACAGGAAGGAAGTGGGCAACACTGTGACCCTATAGAGGGGTGGATTTGCAAAAACCATTTTGCACAGAGCTTCCTAAGTTCCACAGAGAAGAAGCCAAGCTAACAAAGGAACTAACTCTCTGACAGCCTGCGCTGCTTTGGCTCACATGTACATCCCATTAAGCTTTGGTGAAATATCGCCAGTGTCTTCTTTCCAGATAAGGAAAACTGAGGTTCAGAGAGATTAAGTATCTTGCCCAAGGTCACACAGCAGCATTAGGTCAGCATTTGAACCCAGGTTCACTGCCACCGAACTCACATCCTTTTCATTGCCCCACACAGCAGCCAGAAGACTGTGGGAAGCTGGGCTGAATCCACCGCCACCAGGGGTGCCAGCTGACCAGGCTCTTTTGCTGACAGTTTTGTAGGCTTGTAGCAATGAAAGGTGACACTTGGGTCTACCACAGAAAGGTCCTGGGTTTTAGGGCAGATCTGGCCTCTGACCCTGGGTCAGCTGCTAACTTGTACAATACTGGGCTTCTCTTTTCTGGGCCAGACTCTTGCCATCTGGGAAGCTTTCCGAGACTCTGAAACATGCCCAATGCTGCTGTATGACACAGGTAAGAGCTGTGAAGGGGAGGTGAGACACGGGTGGCCAAGATGGAACGTGTGATTGGGCATGTGGAGGACGTGTGTCCAAGCTCAGCCTTCCCACTCCCTGTCTGTGTGCCCTGGCGCATTTCTGCCTCAGTCTCTTCATCTGAAGAGGAGGATAACGTATCTCAGTGTATAGAGGGAAGTAAATGACAATGCGGCCTAAGAGTAACAGGAAGAAACACAGTAACTCAACAGCTCCTTGTGTGATGTCAGAGCCACCATCCGCTCTGGCTCATCACAGGTAGGACAGTCCTGGAACAACCTATGTGTGGAATATAAGGCAAACGTTCTTAGTTCAGGTGCCCACAACCTCTATCCACACCTGTTTGAAGGCCTGAAGACCCACCTCACTTAGGATAGAACACTTTCCGAAGTCTAGAGAATAGATGGGAACTTCCAAACCGGCAGGGGATTCTACGTGCTCCAGTGCCTGTAATTCCTGGGTAGAGTTGGACCCAGGTTGGCAAACAGGCAACTAGAGCATCTCGACAGCCTCCTTCCCGGCTGGTCTCCCAGCCTACGGTATCATAAAAGAGACACCGCATGTGGCCATTCAGTGGCTCCCCAGGGCCCCTCAAACAAGGCTGAGCTTCTCAAACAGGGCCCTTGTTCCCACCCCACCACTCCTGCCTTCGCCTTTATGCTAAGGCAGATTTAACGATTCCTGGTTGCTCCCCACGATGACAAGCTTCCTCTTTCCTCCATGCCTTTGTTCACGCTGGACCCTGTTACCACTCTGGTGAAATCTTAGACAACATTTAAGATATAGCTCAGTGTCACCTCCTCTGGGACTTCTCTCCTGTGAGCTCGTGTAATGGCCTACGTGCATCTCCACAAGCATGCCCTGTAGTGCAGTTATGTTTTCACATTTCTGTCTCCCTAACTAGAGTTTGACTTTCTTTAGAGCGTGAGTTATACACAGCTAGTTCACTAGCCTGTCCCAAGCACTTAAACAGTACCTGACACAGAGTGAGAGCTCAAGAAACGTTTATCGAATGACTGAATAAGTGAATCGTTTTCATCTCCCGTACGCAGCTCCATTCCTGGCATATAAAATACTCCATGCATGCTCGTTGAACTGAACTGAGCTAATCTGAAAGCTGTTCTACCCAACACTCTTGCTTGGCTTTCAGGGTCTGTAGTCCCTTGAGCTCTGAGCAAAAGCCAGCAGTCAACATCGGAGCTGCTGCCCTTGTACATAGTGTAGCTTATTTAAAAGAGATGACCACCTTCCTGACAGCCGTGAGCCCATGGACTTCCATGGGATCAGCTTAGCTACTGAGATGCTTTCACTGCCTGGGCTGTAGATACACTCCTGGACTCCAGCAGCCTCTTGTTAAAATCAGCAGTATGACTCTGAATTCAAGTCCGCTGTGGAACACCAAGGCCATAAGGTGGACCAGCCCTGAGGTCGTGTCCCACTCATAACCTCTGAGCAGGTTGTTTTCAGCATTCAGTGAATCTGTCTACTTGTCTGTTAATGGCAGTTGGACACGTAAAGGTGATCTTGCCAGGATGCTGTGTTTCTGGGCCTCCAAACGGACTAAATACATTTACCATAGGTGTGTTCCAGAAAGTTCTCCCCCAGCCCTCCTCAGGTCCCCATCAGCACATTCCCGCTAAACCAGTCCCAGTGGCCCACAGTAGGGAGACAGGGCTCCTGGTTCAGTAGCCCCTCTGAACGGGGCTTGGGGCTGCGGACCCTTTTCCTCCAGGAAGCCTTGCTCCTGGCCAGCCTATGGGCCTTGCCAGTGACATCATTCAGCTGGAGGCGTGCACGGTGCAGAGTAGGAAAATGGCAAACGCCAGGGTAAGCACCCTCCTCACCTGACAGGGGCTCCCCGAGACTGAGCGGGCTTCAGCATCACTGTGATGGTCGTGTCTGTTTCATTCAGTGGGGTGTCTGTGTCATATTCAGGCATCGATGGAGCTGGACAGAGAACAGAGAGAAGGGAGCTTAGCAAAGGTCCCAAACGCCTCTCATCACCTCCCTCGAGACACTCAGGATGCCTAGAAGGGAGGTGTTTGGGGAAGGGTAGGATGAGAGTCACATGGCATCCCAGGCTTTCAGCAAAGGAGGCCCTGACTTCCAACCTGCCTGTAGGTTCCTTCAAGGTACAGAAGAGTCCTCAGAAGGGTAGCAATGATGTGGCTGGTAACCCTCTTGAATCAAGAAGTTCCACACCAAATAAACAGATGAATGCAGGAGATATAAGTACTTAAAGATGTGAATGCAAATGTGAATGTCAACCCTAAACGTATTTAAAATGCAAATGCAAATTACAGCAGTGATGAACTAGTCCCTCTTATCTTTCTTTTTCTTCCTGAGATCCTCCCTTCTGATGGAAGTGTAACTAAATCTAATCCCTTGGGAAGGTAATGTAGCCATTTGTATTAAGAGCTATTAAACCCACATCGGTTTTAATTCAGTATCTCAATTTCTGGAATTTAATCCTAAAGTCATAATCCGAGCCAAGGAATTAAACTTTATTCTGTAACATGTTTATTGAAGCGTTATTTTATAAAAACATGGAAGCACCCAATATATACAACCACAGGGGAATGTTTAATTGAATTACATCCGTCCACTTGACAGAACATTACAATGAAAACAATGTAGCAACATGGAAGATGCTTATGGTTTAAGGATAAGTGGAAACATCAAGCTACAAAAAACACGGTGGGTCTGTATCTATGCAAAATGTGGATGCAGACGAGAACTGCACGCGTATTCTGAAAAAATGTAAATTGTAAAAACGGGGTCTGAGATAATTCTGCTTTGATGCTGTCTGGTGGGGGAGGCCACCCTACTGGTGATGGCAGGTGACATCCTGGACTGCTATGGCTCTGTAATGGTCATTCACTCATTTGTTTGTTCATTCATTCATCAGACGTTTCATGAGAACCTGTGCTGTGCCCTGCACTGTCAAAAGGAATACTCTTGAAAATCAATCACATTTTTACAAACCAATCTGTGTGGGGAAAATGTACTATTTAAGGCAACTGTGTGCTACATAAATTATTTGGTGAATCACTCAGCATTCCCTCTGGTCTAGTCTAATTGATATATTTTTTTATACTTTAGGAAGTTCATGGATTAGGATTTCTTCCTGAGATTACAGCACTGACACACAAGGGACTGCATTGTCCTTGCTGCTCCAAAGTCACATGGTGACGGTTGGCTCTGCCCTTTTTCACTCCCAGGAATATTAGGAATGGAAAAAACCACCACCACCACCTTTCTTCCTTTCCCCTTCTTAGGACAGATACCTGAAATTTTGGTGGCGATCCTGGTGGTAACAGGGGGCCCAAAGCCCTTTGCTGTGCTGGCCTTGATGGTGAAGGAGTAGGTGGTCCCGGGGTACAGACCCACAAAGAGGTGGTGGGTTTCATTCCGAAGCTTGAACACTTTGCCCCTCTGGCTGGAGAGGTCGGCACTCGGGTCCAATGAGCCCACGGCCTTGTAGTTGATCTGTACAAGGAGCCGGCAAACAAACATATCAGTGCCTCACCCAGGAAGCTGGGTGGAGTCCATACGGAGGAACATCAGGGGAGGAAAGCAGAAGGCGTGTGAGCTTGGTCAGCACTTCTGCTGTTAGCATCCACCTTACAGATGATCCCAGCCGCCCAATGCTCTGGAGCAGCGCTATCCAATAGAAGTAAAATTTAAGCCACATACATAATTTTCAATTTTCTAATAGTCACATTAAAGGAAAAAAAGTAAGAACATAAAGTAAAATTAATTTTAGTAATACATTTTGTTAAACACAGTAGATGTAAAATGTTAGCATTTCAACCTGCAATCAACATAAAAATTAATGAAATATTTTATATTCTTTTATTCATATTAGGTCTTAGAAATCAAGTATATATTTTACCATATGGTGCATCTCCATTTGGACTAGCCACATTTCAAAAGCGCAGGGACCCTGTGTGGCTACTGGCCATCACATTGGACAATGAGGCCATAGAGCAGTGTCCAAGTGTAGCATCCTGATAAGAATTATCTGGAAGCCTAGTTAAAAATGCAGCTCACGGGCTTCCCTGGTGGCGCAGTGGTTGAGAGTCCGCCTGCCGATGCAGGGGACACGGGCTCGTGCCCCGGTCCGGGAAGATCCCACGTGCCGCGGAGCGGCTGGGCCCGTGAGCCATGGCCGCTGAGCCTGCGCGTCCGGAGCCTGTGCTCCGCAACGGGAGAGGCCACAACAGTGGGAGGCCCGTGTACGCAAAAAAAAACCCAAAAAAAAACCCTGCAGCTCATGCACCCCCTACTGCACATGGCGCTCTCTGGCGCTTTCTTGTGCATTATCTAGTCTTTCTTCCCTAAAACCTTGCGTACGTCAGAGTATTTATTCTCATTTTAATGTTGGAGAAACTGAGGCTCAACTGGCAACAATTTGTATTAAACCAGCGCTTTTCAAAATATCTATGGTGAAGACCCAGTTGTTTCCCAGTCCACTGCAGACCCATAACGATCCAAAGACCACATCACACGTGACTCATCATGTGAGTCTGGCAATAACCAAACTGTTCTACATTATGTGCAAGGAGACGTGTCCACTGACCACACATACAGGCGTCACAGCAAGGTCAAGGCCCTCAAAAGTTTCTAGATGCTCACTTTCAACTTCTGCACTTATCCTGCTGTGAATGTAACAAAACAGCTGGCATCCCTGGCACTGGCCCCCAAGGATCACACTCTGAGAAGCACATTTCTAAATTACACAGTTGTTAAAGAGGCAAACTCAGGGTTTTTTTGTTTATCTAGTTTGTTCTATTAAAAGTGTTTTATTAGAGTATAATATATATACAGAAAATTATACAGCTCAATGAATTTTTACTAACTGGACAGGACCATCTAACCACACCCAATCAAGAGACACAACATTACCAGACCCGAGATTTTCCCCTCATGCCCCTTTCCAATCCTTTCCCTCCTCCCCGCAGCATGGATACCCTCTACCTTGATTTCTAACAGCATAGACGAGCTCTGCCTGCCTTTGAACTTTATCTAAATGGAATCATACAGAGTGTACTCTTTAGCGTCAGCTTCTTTCTCTCAACGTCCTGTGTGAGATTCATGCTGCTGTCACATGCAGCCACCTGGCAGGCATTGTCACGGTTATTCGGTGTCCTATCACTGACCCAAGACTAAACCCAGATCTGTTGGGTTTCATTCATTCACTCATTTGCTCCTCCACAACCATTCCCCGCATACTCCTGTACTATTCCAGGACCTGCACTGTGTGCTCCCATGCCCTAGCAAATGGATGCAATGGACACAAGCTAGGCCCTGTCCTCAAGGTCTTCTGTTCCAGAACGAGGTAAGTCAACTACACAGACAACCTCACATCACTTTGTCTTTTGTCAGGAATGTCCCATGCTTGTCAGGAAGGCCAAACCCAGGCAGAAAAGGTAATATGCCAACTTTACTTCAAAAATAAGCAGTTGGCTGTTTCTGGCTAGGGCACCAAATGTTCTGGAGAAAGCAGTAACCTCTCTCCCCTATGAAGCAGGAGCAGTGCAGCGTAGCAACTGATGTCACATGTCGAGGACAGAGGCCAGACTTTGTCTGAAGCGCAGTGAGCCCAGGAGGAGAAATGTACAGAACTGAAGGAATTGGCCATTGTGCAGAGCTGGCAGGGGCGCCCATCTAGCAGATCCCTGGGGGGGGCCTGGTCACCCTGCCTACTCCAGCCCTTCTCAAAGGCAAGCACTGCAAACACCTGCCTCTCTTTGTCTGAGGGCTTTTCCCCTGGGTACGCACAGGAAGTGCTGGTTAATTCACACCCCCCCGAGACTGGATTAATGGGAGTTGATAAATACATTCCACGGTTCCTCTTGTGATACCCCCGCAGCATCCCTGGGATTTCCCCGAGGGATGCCACTCCACTTGCCTCCATAGGTAGTTGACTGGAAAACACACCCATCGTTGCCTACTTTCTCTCCCTTCCCCACTCCCTAGTATTTCCCACACTTCATAATCTGCTCGTGCTCAAATCCTTGCCTCAGGCTCTGCTTCTGAGAAATGCCAAACTAAGGCGAAGTGCTCAGGGAGGTATCTCAGGGGAGAACAGAACTAATACCTGGGGGTGATACAGAGTCTAGGAGCACTCTAGATTCTAGGCAGAGGGAGCTAACCAGGCAAAGACCTGGGGTGGGGAAAGGCTTGGGAGAACCAAGAAGAGTCCTGTGTTGACTGGATAGTGGTGAGCAAACAGGAGAGCTGTGTGCAGCTGGATTCCAGTTTTCCCCAGCGGCAGAAGGTGGCAGATGTTTGGAGAGCTCTGCCTGTGTCTGCTAACCCAGGCCACCAGGGGAGAAGACGTGCTGGAACATCCTTTGCAAATTCTGCCCCCGTCCCCTGCCTGGGCTGATGGCAACTACATTGATATACAGACAATGGGTGGTAAAATTCATGCCTTATTTACTAGCCAATTCCTTTTCTGTGCTCCAAATTCAATCCAGAAGCGACTCAATTTCCACCTAGCTGTCAATATAATATACTGTGCTCCCCTGCTCTCCTAACCTTTCCTGCTATTACAGGATCCTCACTTACTTGTAATGAAACACTATGAATAAATCAATGTATGTTAATATAGCGTGTCTTCAATTTTTTATGAAGGGCTTCACCAAATCTAATTCCCACTGCTTTGTCAGAAACAGTCTTTGAAAAATTTAACTTTCAAGTTTTACGAAGTTAGTGCGGGATCGGGCTGGGGGTGGGGGGGAAAGAAGGAAGGTGAGAAAAATGGAATGGGATGGAGCTGGGACCGTAAAATGCATCCTGCAATGTGACTCTTCACTTGGAAGTGGAGAGAGAGGAAGATTTGTTAGAATAGCAAACATAAAGTAAGGAGGTAGTAGAGGAAAGAGTGCTGAGCTGCACAATGGCCCTGGGCTCCAGGGATGGCGCTCTGGCTGCAATGAAGTGCTCAGGGCCACCCCAGTCTCTCCTGGTCGCTCTCAGTGGGATCCCCAGCCACAAGCCAGAGTGAGCCCTTCATAACAAGAATCCAGTCACCCCCTGGAATCAAAAGGGCAATGGTTTCCCATAGCTTTTGGAATTAGGACCACATTCTTACCCTGTGGTTCTCCATCACCTCACTGCATGAGCTGGCCTCTCCTGCCCTTCTATCTTTTTTAAAAAAAATTATTCATTATTTATTTATTTTGGCTGCACCAGGTCTTAGTTGTGGCATGCGGACTCTTAGTTGCAGTATGCATGTGGGATCTAGTTCCCTGACCAGGGATGGAACCCAGGCCCCCTGCATTGGGAGCGTGGAGGCTTATCCACTGGAGCACCAGGGAAGTCCCCTCCTGCCCTTCTATCTTGCATTCTAGGCCTCATTTCAGTGTCTGAAAAGAGCCATGGTCCCTTTTGCCACAGGGCTTTTGCACCAGCTATTCTGCCAGCTCAGACACTTTTTTCCTTCCCTTCACCTTGTTAATGACTCCCCACTACTTTTATACTGAACCATGAAATTATTTCATTGATGAGTCCCTTTTCCATCAGCCCAGAAGTCTAAAAAGTAAAGCCTGAAAGCCAGATTTGGTTCATCGTCTCTTTTTGTAAATAAAATCTGACCAGAACACAGCCCCACCATTATTTCTGTACTGTCTGTGATAACTGCTGACACGCTACAAAGGCAGAATTAGGTAGTTGTAACTCCACAGAGTCTAACATATTTACTCTCTGACCCTGTATAGAAAGAGTCTGCTGAGCCCTGGACTAGACTTTAAGCTCTAAGAGAGCAAAGATCTTATGTGGTTTTTGCTCCGCATTTTTCCCCTTGGATAAATGAATGAATGATCAAACCAGGTTATGCGGCTTGAGCAATTTGCTTAACCTCCTAGAGTCTTGGGCTCTTGAAGGGTAAAATACTCCTTTTAATTCCAGTTTCTGTTTTGATTTATGTTGCAGAATGACCTGCAGCTTCTTTACTCCTGGAAGGCAGCCCCTTTATTCAGAAGTAAGGCCGCAGGGGGTAGTCCATGAGTGACTTTAGCCTGTGCATCAAGGCGCCAGCTGCCATGGACCAGGGAACATCTTGGGAAGAACAGGCAGCCCTTCCACCGTGGGTTGAGGAGGAGGGAGCAAGACAGGTGGGGAGAACAGAAAACGATTTCCCTCAAAGAGCCCATCAGGAAGGGCCTGCTTGCGTAATTGAACGTGCTTAGATTGAGCCAGGCTGTGCTCCAGGCACTGGGCCAGGTACAGGGTTAGACCACAGAGGTTCCACGTTCAAAGAGAGCAGTTGACAAGTTTCTGGGCCTGAGGATGAGATGGTGGATGGTGGTTAAGGGAAGATATGAGATAAAGTGGAGCTGAGGGAAGTGGCCAGGACTCAGAAGCAGGTTGTTAGAAGATGCAGTCATGAAGAAAACACCATTTTGGAGCACTTACTCTGTGCCAGGCACTGTGAAGAGGGACTCACATAAAAATCATCTCATTTAATCCTTAAAAAAAAA